TATATGTCAACGTGACAAGTGCGTCGTATATTTAAATATAATTTGTTCACATAAGTGTTCTTTTAATTTTATCTCAAAAAATTCGTTTCTTGTATCATTGTTCCTACAAGTTACGCCTCTGTACTTTTGTTTGGTCAATTAAGTCTGCAATTTAAATTTTCAACAAGTCAATTTGTGATCAAATTAGTCAAAAAAAATTGACAGATTGGAACACAGGAAGTATGTAAGTTATAAATGTTTGAGCTCAATCATGATTTGGACCCAATAAATAAATTATCTATAACCTTTTTTTTTTTTAAGGAAATTATTTATAACCTTAAAATTGATGTTTTAAAACCCAATGGATTGAAATACCCAATGCAAAACAACCATTGTTGCGGCATGTGGGTTCTGCATGGTGGTTGAAAAAGCATGCAAAATTCAGCCTTTGAAATTTGGTTGCATAGGAAATCTCTTGTTAGCTCAATTTTGTTGAAAAATTGAAAATCTCATGGCAGCCTTTGAAATGGAAATTTGGTTGCTGCAATTTTGTCCATGCAATATTTATTGTGCATGGTTGGATTATGACTTTGAAGCTCATTGCATTCATTGTGGGTGGTTGGCATTTGACTATAAAAGGCCATTTGGCCATTCGGCAAATCACACCAAGAGAGCAATCCAAAGTAAACTGAACTCTAGAAAATACATGAGTTCTGTGAGTGCTTTGGGTGAGGGTGAGCAAGAGCAGAGTGGTTAAAATGACTTTGTTGAGTGTATTTTTTGAGTGTGTCTCATATTAAAAAATATTATGAGTAAAATTTGAATGTAATTAGAAATTGAGTATTTTTTTGAGAATATCACAAATTATATCTCTTTATTTTAATAGTGAATTTTTCCTTATGAGTACCCATGGACGTAAACTTAATTAAATTGAAGCTGAACCACGTAAATTCTGTCTTTCTTGTGGTAGTGTTTTTTTTTTTTTATTCCATTTATTTTTTAATCTTGTAATAGGTTAATCAAAATCTCAAGCAATTTGTTCCAACAACCTTGTTTTCAAAACTTTTGTGCTCTATAAACTTATTAAAGCATCCTTAACAATGTTGTTAAGTTTAGATTTTAATTCAAGTTTGTTACCTTATCTTATTCAATCAATGTTATTTGGACTAAATAATTTTTTATCAAAGTTTCATCATAACTTTTTTATGTGTTTTCTTATTATATTTAGTAAACGATAGGAATTAGTAATTAAGTTTGAAAAAGTGCTGTTAGAAAAAATTTTCTTTTTAATACAAGTAAAAAATTTTAAATTTAAATTATATGATATAAAAGGAAAAAAGAGACATGTTTCTCTACAATCCAAAAAATAATAATAATAAAAGTTTGGTAAAACATTTTTTAAAGAAGAAAATAAATAAAAACAAAAACAAAATTTAGAAACAAGTTTCCCTTTAATTTGATTTAATTGTCTGGATTGTCAACTATAGTTGACACAATAATAATAACAATATCATTGGCTTAGTTGAGAAAAAAAAAAAAAGAAGAAGAAGAAAAAGAAGAAATTATTAGCACAATGACTGCCTTCTCACTCAAATAATCATTATTCAAATTTCAAACCCTCATTTTCTCTTTAATAAAAATTTCAACTAATTAATTTATCTCCTAATATATATATATATATATATTTGTTAAAATATATATTTGATCCCTCAATTTTTAAATTTATAGTAAAATTATCCTTCAATTTCA